ATAACATTTATTCCAAATTTCATAAAATTCTGACGTCTCCTTGTCTTTTAATTCTAACGTAAGTTTGTTCATTTCTGCGCATTCCAAGATTTTATACATAATCATATCATTTGTGGGAATATTTTCACTCTTCCAACATTGCGCATATGCTATACGAGCTGCAGTCAATATGTGTATAATGATGTGTTGGAGTTGTTTTCCCATCTTTAAATTTATTATGCCCAAAAGAAATATTTCTGGTTTGAAATCCATTTGTATCTCAGTTATCTCCTGTATCCAATCTCTTATCCGTTCCCAATAATTTTTTACTTTGGGGCACAGCCACCACGTGGTAAAATGTTCCTTCTTTAATTTTACATTTCCAACACTTCGGGTCTATGTTTTTATACATTTTGGCCAATCTCGCCGGTGTTAAATGCCATCTGTAAATCATTTTATATTGATTCTCTCTATATGCAGTTGATAGCGTTAATTTGCAATTTTTGTTCCATAATCTTTCCCATCCCTGCTAAAATTCTAAAGGGGTGAAATGCCAAATCCTACCCGTATGCTTCCTGTTCCCAAGAAATAAGGTCTGGACCAGGTGACCACCCGAGATTCTCTGTGCAGGTACACTGGGATGCCCGAGTTGTGGAATGTCATGATCCATCCATCAGGCAACGGTTCTGTAGGAGGGCGACCACGACCTTGGGAAAAGAAACACGCTGAGGCGCTGCTTAGTGTCCAAACCTTTCAATTATTATTTTGAAACAGAAGGGCTTCTGGCCTCCCTGGTCAACCATCAAGCTAGCAAGAAGCTTGAGGTTCTTCAGATGCTGGTTGAAGAAACCTCTCTTGGTAGGCCAGCTGAAATTGATCAACACTTCCTTTTTCTCCCAAACAGGAGACTTTACGACTTTTAACTCCCAAGTGTTCCTCCACGAGCACGGCTGGCTGAGGAATTCTGGGAGTTGAAGTCCACAAGTCGTGAAGTTGCCACGGTTGGGAACCCCAGCTAAAAACAGCTAAGGGTGTGTGGAGAATCCTCTGTGGGTCAATTGTTCTACGTGTAAAAGAAAAGCTGCCTGAATCGGGTGGTTTGGCTCACACCCGGAACAACTCTTGTGTTTCTTCTGGGCGTGGACCAAACTTTATCTTTTATTTATTTTTCACACGTCTTAACCGCCCACCTCCCTCAGAGAGACGCTGGTTGTTCCAGGCAGAGGTGAACAGGAAGAGAGCCAGCCTCTTAAATTAAGAGAAACGGAGATGGACACGGGCAACTAGGTGTGCGACTCGTTGCGATAGCTTACTTTTAAGAACAGTTTTGATTTTGGTCATCATGGGCTGCACAGTTGTTTCTCCGTCCGACTGATGGTCGCTTTCCCCTCTGTATTTCTCATCCATCCTCCTTTTTTTGGGAACGCAAAGGCCCTCTTCCAGGAGAGCGTCCACGTCATTATCAAATTCATCCTGAAAAGCAGACTGTCAGGTACATAACGCACCCTTTAATTATTCTCCTCATTCCCTGAACAAGACAGGTACGGCTGCAGAGATCTACAAATTGCCCAAGTCTTTTGCAACTCGGATTATATCTGGGGGGTGGGGGTGGTGAGGTTTCAAGCAGTGGTGAGTAGCTGGACAGCTCTGTAATAATTCAGGAAGATTTGATGGCTTAGCTGCAGCCAACATTTTGACGAGTCCTCATTTAGCAACTGCCACTGGGACAGACAACTTGGTGATTAAGCGAAGCAGTTACAAGGTGAATCTGCAATTTGGCTTATCACCTTCCTTCAGCTTTCCTTTGATTAATAGACCCGTGAAGGCTGCAAATGTGAGAATCAGCTGTTAAGTTACTTTTTCGTCTTTCGTGATCACAATTTGGACACTTGGCAACTGGTTCCTATTTATGACGGTTGCAGAGGGTCACGTGATCCCCTTCTGCAACCTTCTGACAAGCAAAGTCAATGGGGAAGCCAGATTCACTTAACAACCGGCTATCTTAACAATTGCAATGATTTACTTAACAAATGTAACAAGAAAGGCTGTAAAACGGGGTAAAACCCACTTAACAAATGTCTCACTTTAACCACAGAAAGTGTGGGCTCAATTGAGGTCGTTAAGTCAAGGACTATCTGTATCTTCTCTATGATCGAGCCTCAAGCCCAAGTTTTATTTCCTTTACCACCACCCCCCTTAAAATAAATGCTACAGAAATGCCACATATCCACAATTTTCTTCTCAAACCCAAACTCTGGAAACCAAAAAAACCCCCCCGTAATTACCTCGTAAGAATAGTTCAAGGTTTCTTCGTCCACTTTGTCTTGCTGAACGATGGCCTTAGGTGTAAACCCTGCTGCTTCATCTATTTCCATCAAATTGTCTGTAAAATCTTCTAAATCATCCAACACTGCATATTCCACTCGCTTTTCCTGATCTACCTCGTTGTCCTCATCCTTGGTGTCCTCGTTGTCACCGGCTACCTGAGCCGTGGGGCCGCCACTACCCCCACCGAGAGGACAAGCATGCACGTCCCCATTGACACCGTGCGCCCCTAAAACCGCCTCCGCCTCATAATCTGGCTCGGCTCCAGTGTACAGCACTCTCCTGTCTTTACTTCTGCAGCTCTCTGTAAAATTAACGCTAACCTTTACGTCTTTAAGCAACTTAAGATCGGGAGTGAATTTCCTAACTGAGGGCGCGTGGCGAGCGGTCCTTGGGCTTTGGTCGCTATGAGGATCTATGATAAGACGACTTTGGTAGCACGAAGATCCCTTGGTGAGGAGCGGGCTCCGGTTGACAGCGTGGGCGTCCCCAGCAGGGCTATCTGACTGTCCATCACCACCGGAGCTAACGTCCATTACCTCTGCGTCACTGGACGTTTGCAGGGGAGGTGGTGGAGGCTGTTCGTTGGGCGGCAGTGGTGGGGGACAAGAAGGGCACTCCACGTTCATGTCGGCGCTGGCTGGCTCTTTTGGAAGGGGAGGTGTGCTCTCACAACTCTCCATCACTAAAACTTACCCAAAAGGAGGGGGAGGGGAAAAACAAACCCACCGAGTTTTAAACCCAAGGGTGTAGGGAGCTACGATCCTCACATGCAGGAGTCCATCAAGAGAGGATTGGTCACGCTTTATTCAAAAGGCCACACTGACGACTCAGTTAAGCTGACTACATTGCTCTTTTCATTAATGTGGACAGCTTTCAAAACCACTGTCTCAATTACTGGAAATCACAATGCATTCAGCTTAAATAGCTGATGTCCGAGTTAAGAGCTTCTTCCGCGGCTGTCGTGGGTCTCCTTGACTTCGTTCGGCCTGCAAGGGAAAACAGTCAGCTGTCACTCGCTCGGATTATGAAGGACAATCCAATTACCCAATCGTGAGAATAGCAAAGAGGTAGTTCCTCTGCTTACCACGGTTTGTTTAGTGAACAGTGTTACTGAAAGAAGTGACTTATGGCCGTTTCGCACACTTACGACCGTTGCAGCATCCCTGTGGTCACCTGGTCAAAATTCAGAGGCTTGACCAGGGACTTGTACTTATGATGGTTGCAGTGTCCCCCTGTCATGGGATCCCTTTTTGTGATCCGTCTGACAAGCAAAGTCAATGGGGAAGCCAGATTCTCTTACTAACAACTGCAGTGATTCAATTAACAACGATGGCAAGAAAGATCATAACATCGGGAAAATTCACACAACTGTCTCGCTTAGCAACAGAAATTTTGGGCTCAGCTGTGGTCATAAGTCGAGCACTACCTGTATTTCTTTTATTGATTTATGGTTAAAAAGCAACACAATTCCACAAAAGAGAAATGTTTCATTTTCCTTCAAGTTCCTAGTTCTGGGTTAACAATGGGTTATAGCCAACCCATTCTTAGTAAAATTATGATGTACAGAGAATGGTTTTGAAGAGTTGTTTTCATTTCGCGTGTAAGTACAGCTTCTATAACTGTCATTTTGACTATTATATTTACAGGGAGTGACAGATACAAGTGGCAGGCAAGGATGGTGGTCTTTCAGGGAAATACCCAAGTCTTCAACTTTGATAAGAATTCAAAGGAGTGGAACAGCTAGATAGAAGCAAATAGATGAACAAGTAGATTTATTACAGATTGTGTGCAATAAAAAAATGAGTGCATGGTGTTACACTGTTATGAAGCAACACCCACTTGATCAAATGCGTAATAATGCCCGGCTGGTTTGAGCTGAAAAGCAGATACACAAGGTCAAGCTGGACCAAATTAAGATTTGTCAGGATAAATTTGTAAACTTTGTTGCCACAAGACTCACTTGCTTAAACAAGCTGTCTGCTTTAATAAAAGAAAAAAACAGAACTGAACTAGGTCACCTGGCACGCTCCCCCAAAAAGCATCATGAACTACAGAAATAAAAACAAAAAGGACCGCTTGCTTTGATAGACAAAGAATTTTACAGGTCTGAAAAAGCTGGTGCTTTTTCTACATATTACTCACACAGCCATTGCTCTGCAGCTATCAGAAGCTTTTTTTCTTTTTTTTGTTCAATTGTGTTCAATTCTCAGGCATTGCCTCCAGTTTTCTTGGCAAATGATTTGCCATTGCTTTCTTTCATGGTCCAAGTGAAAGTGACTGGCCCAAGATTACCCAGCCTGGCCTTGTGCCTTAGGCGACACTAGCACTCAGTCTCCCGGTTTCCAGGCGGATGCTTTACACTACAACACCATCCGTATTTCTCAAAATCATATTTCATTGCCATGTTAATGCCACACAAAACCACATCCTACCACGCCTAAAATATTTCCCTTTCTTAAAGTTGTGCTTGCTGCCATTTGGAAAAAATCAGATCAATACTGGAAGTCGACTTAATGATGATTTAACATGGATTCCCAATGGAAAGCCCAATGGGTTGCTGAACGTCCAGACAAGACATAGGAAGACATATACCAGTATCCGGTGTCTGATTTTTTTTCTCATATAAATACTGCTGCGGTTCAATGGTTAGATGGGCTATAGCAGGGGTAGGCAACCTTGGCTCTTTGATGACTCGTGGACTTCAACTCCCAGAATTCCTGAGCCAGCATGGCCCAGCTTGGAAACCTCTCCCTTTCCCCTCAGCGTGGCTGGCTCAGGAATTCTGGGAGTTGAAGTCCACGAGTCATAAAAGAGCCAAGGTTGCCTACCTCTGGCCTAGGCCTAGGCTGCTTTATGACTCGTGGACTTCAACTCCCAGAATTCCTGAGCCAGCATGGGGGAAACTTTGGCCCCCTGATGACTCGTGGACTTCAACTCCCAGAATTCCTAAGCCAGCATGGCTCAGCTTGGAAACCTCTCCCTTTCCCCTCAGCATGGCTGGCTCGGGAATTCTGGGAGTTTATTTATTATTTAAATTTATATACCGCCCTATCTTCCTTACGGGACTCAGGGCAGTGAACAGGCAATAATAAAACAGGCAATAATAAAAATAATAAAAATCACAATAAATATTGTGAAGTCCACAAGCTGAAGTCCACAAGTCATGTAGGATCCATAGTTCCCCCATGCTGGCTCAGGAATTCTGGGAGTTGAAGTCCACCAGTCATCAAAGAGCCAAGGTTGCCTACCCCTGGCCTATAGGGATTCTTGCCTGAGCAGGGGGTTGGACTAGATGACCTCCAAGGTCCCTTCCAACTTATTTATAATTATTATTATTATTATTAAACCTCGCAGACCGTGGGGTGACTTTAGGCCAAGCCCAACCGAGCTTATAGGGTTGTGGCCTTAAAAAGGAAAGAAGAGCTTTAATACCCGCCCCTCCCCACCCACACACACAAAGCATCTGGAGGTCTCAGAGAATTTAAACGCAATTAAAAATAAACACACCCCAAGTTCGCCCCCCCCTCCCCCAAATTCGTGGGGGGGGTATTAAGAGTGTCTGGGCCAGGTCACGTGGCCCGTGGAGCCCTCCCCCAGCCGTCAATCAAAGGGGGAAGGGAGGGGGAGGGAGGGAATCACGGCTTCTCGGCCTACAAGCGCCGCGGGGCCTAGTCAAAGAGGCTCCCGCGGGAAGCCCCCTCCTCTCTCTAGGCTGAGGCGGCCATGCCGCGCCGGGGCCCGGCACCCACCTGGGCCATGCCCGCCCGGTCGCAGCGGCTCCTCTGGCTCTCTTCCGCGTCCGCCGGGCGTGAGGGAGGGAAAGAGGCCGCCTCCTCCTCGCCTCCTCAGCCGCGGCTTTTTCCCCCCTGGCTCAGCGAAGCTGCCTTCGCGCGGACGCCGCCATCTTTAAAACGTCTCAGAGAGGCTGCCTGGCCTCTCCCCGCCTCCCGGCCAATCGGCGGCCGAGGAGCGGGCTCGCGCGCTTCTCGCCCATTGGGCCCGCGGAGACGCGGAGACACCCTTTCCCCCCACCCTTCGCGGCCGCGCCGCCAATAGAAGCGGGGGCGGGGAAGAGCGGCCAATAGGAGCGGCAGGGCCCAAAGGGGTGGGAGGCGATTAGAAGACGTAGTGGGCAGGGGAGGGCTTTCGGGCTGTCAGTCAACGCCGAGAAAAACAACAGGCTCGCCAATAGGAAGCCAGTCCTCATGAATAAAAATAACAACAATAATAACAATCACAACGATAATAATCATCCTTGGGAAGGACTTCATAGGTAGACAAAAACGCCAAACCCAGTTTGAACATTTGACTGACTGCTAATAATAATAATAATAATAATAATAATAATAATAATAATAATAATAAAAATTATTCATTATTAATTCTTCATTAATTAATTATTCTTGTTTCTGGCAAGAGCACTGAAGGAGGAAAACTGGACAGCCACTTGTCTGGAATGGTAGGGGGTCTCTGGCTTCAGCAGGGGGTAGACTAGAAGACCTCCAAGGTCCCTTCCAAGTCTGTTATCCTGTTAGATTCCGTTAAGTAGTCCTTGATTTAGAACCATTCATTGAATGAGTGTTTGAGGATAGAACGGCCCTGAAAAAAGCAACTTTTATAGCATCCCCATAGTCACATGATCAAAATTCTGACGCTTGGCAACTGACTCATCTTTATGACGGTCGCAGTATCCCCGGATCATGTGATCACTTTTTGCGACCTTCTGACAAGCCAAGTCAGTGGGGAAGCCAGATTCATTTAACGACCGTGTTTCTCACTTAACAACTGCAGTGATTCACTTAACAAACTGTGGCAAGAGAGGTCATAGAATGGGGCAAAACTCAACTGTTTCGCTTAGCAACGGAAATTTTGGGCTCAGTTGCAGCCAGGAAGAAACAATAGAACAAGTTATCTTCTCTTACACTAGAATTAAAATAAGAGGCAGCAAATGAAAATACCTAATCGATTTAATTTTGACAAGCAGCCTATTTCTTACTCGGATAAGACCTATGTCCCCTTTTTATTTTCAAAGGCTGTGCGTTCGGAGTAAAATTACTGCCGGCGTCTAAACGTTTCCACCACTGGATATGAAAACTGTATCCATCACCTCCTTGGGACCAGATGTATATTGAACAGCCGCAAGCACGCAGGCGTTTACAAGACTGATCTGGCTTCTTAACCGCATTATAAGGCGAAGGAACAGCTTGTTTATTTTATTAAAAATAGCTTGGCTGCTGGAGGAAGGGACATCAATATATATATATATATATATATTCTCCAGCAGGCCTTTAAACAGAGAGGCATTGTGCTCATTTTGGCTTATAAATGGGTTTAATGCTACCTTTGGGACAGTGGTGGGATTCAAATATGTGAACAACTGGTTCTCTGTATGGATGCGGCTTCCAGAAGTCCATTCTGGGCCTGGGCAACAAAAAATTAGCTACCGATTCTGTCAAACTGGTACAAACTGGATGAATCCCACCACTGCTTTGAGGGCGTATAGCTATAAGGTACAAGTGGCTTGCAACCGAATGCCATCAGTAAGTAAATAATTGCAATTTAAACCCCACTTCCGGCTCCCAGATCTGAAAACCTAGTTAACAGAAGGCCAGCCTGTTGCTGATGCTGGCCGAGATGAAATGTGGTTTTAATAAAACTCAAAGTCGCCGTTTGCATTCCAATCAGCAAAACACCCAGTTACAACACTGGTTAAGACCTTGGGAGGTGTCTGCATTCAGCCAGCAAAGCAAATAAGATGGCAGATTAGGCTAATCAGATTTCAGAATGGTGTATGGTTTTTCTAACTGACTGAAAGAGGGGTGAGGAACCTGCTTCATGGGACAACAGGGAAGCTCAGACCCATCAAACAATCCTTCAGGCAAATTAAAAATAAAGCAAAAATAAAATAAAATTACCAATCAGTTTATTGGCTACATTGGCATACAGGCATACGTGGCGATATCAAACAAGCTTCAAAAAGGAGTGGATATTTTTTTTTTAAAAAAAGTCATATTTCAGTGACCTGAGCAACCCCATAATTTCAATTGAGTTTAAAGGCCAAACTACCCTTTAGCAAATTCCTCCAAAGCTTCTCCAATGGGCAGCACCAAGGTGATCCTCGGTTTACGACCATTTCTGTGGCTAAGCAAGCAGACTGTCAAGAGATTTGTGCTTCATTTTATGACTTTTTTTCCCCAATCACTGCAGTTGTTAAGCAAATCCAGCTCGCTCCCCCCCCCAATTGACTTTGCTTGTTGGAATTCCGGGATGCTACCATTGTCATAAATGCTTGTCTAATGCTGAAGGTTGACGCGCCGTAACGTTCGTAAGCATGGGAACCGGTCATAAGTCACTTTTTTTTTAGTGCTGTTGTAACTTCAGTCGCTAAGAGAATGGTCGTAAGCCGAGGACTAACCTGTACTCCATCGTCACTAAGCCGGTTTCCATTTTTACATACAGTAGAAAAATATTCTCAAGCCTCTTTCCCTGGCTACGTTTTCCATGAGTGCCGATTTGTCGCCCCTAAATAAATCACGCTCAAGATACATCAGATCACGTCATGCGCTCCAACCCCTATTTGTTAGTTTGTGTGTTCAGTGACCCAGAGACTAGACTGCAGATTTGGCTGGTGCCCCCCTAAAATATCTGAATTGTTCTAAAAGCCCTGTGCCCTCAAAAAGTAGCTGTCCTGGAGGCTAGCTCAGAACTGAACATTTGTACCTAAGCAGAGGTGGGTTTTTTTTTAAAATTTTGGTTTGGTTTCTGAATGTGAGGTAGCACTGAGACTTCGCAACATTGAGATCTTAAAATAAATCCTTGGCAGTCCTTTTTTTTTTTTTTTTTAAAGTAACTGGGCTCACCCACGGAGTTTAACTGGAGAAAAATTGCCTGGGATTTTCATATTTCTGGAGTTAAGCGTCTCCTTCAGACTGTGGGCCGGCAACTGGGAAGCAATCTAGCGTATTAAACCCCCGGCAGGATATTCTCAATTTAAATTGGCAATCCCAGGGTGGGTTCATCTTCTGCAAGAGCCATCTCGGTAGCCGGCTTTTCCTTCAAGAAGCTAATTTGGGAAGCAAAATTAACAGCGCAACCTTGAATGTATTGGTTCAGAAGCCCTGCCGAGATCAACCAGACTAGCTTCAGAGAAAATGGGCCAGACTTGCAGCCTGCAGTTAAAGCAACGGAAGCGTGCCGATTCTCTCCTTGCCTAGAGGACGAAGTGGCTCCAGTTATGAATTGTGACTCTTCCATGGAAGGAAGGGAGCAAAGAAATAACGGGGTGACAGGATAGCAGCGTTCCAATATTTGAGGGGCTGCCACAAAGACGAGTGGGGTCAGCCTATTCTCCAAAGCACCAGAAGGCAGGACAAGAAGCAACGGATGGAAACTGATCAAGGAGAGAAGCAACCTGGAATTAAGGAGAAACTTCCTAAGAGTGAGGACAATCAATCAGTGGAACAGCTTGCCACCAGACATTGTGGACGCTCCGTCACTGGAGGATTTCAAGAAGAGACTGAACAGGCACTTGTCTGGAATCAATCAGTGGAATGGCTTCCCTCCAGAGGTTGCTCCATCACTGGAGGCTTTTAAGAAGAGACTGGACAGCCATTTGTCTGAAATAATATAGGGTCTCCTGCTTGAGCGGGTGTGTGTTTGTGTGTGTGTGTGTGGACTGGAAGACCTCTAAGGTCCCTTCCAACTCTGTTTTTCTGTATGCATAGCTACTTCAAGGAAGCCTGATTGACTTTAGCTGAATTTATTCCCTCCTAGGTGGACATTAAAAAAACCAAAGTTTCCTTGGGAGCATAATATCATGCAAACAAGAAACTAATCTTAGTCAGGCATGACTATCAGCCTCCCACAGGGCATAAGAATGACACCGCTGTCATTTCCACAAATGTTGTAACGCCAAAACGTACACATATTCATTCAGACTCCAGAAAACAGCAAAGTGAGGTGTTTAGCTAAAAGAGAGTTCTTCAGCCCTATATCCCTTTTATATGTCTTCCCCCTATTCTTGATTTAGAATCTAGAAAGGGCATTGCTTCATCTTCAAAGTAATTTTTAAAAAAACAAAACAAAACAAAGAATTCGGAATAAACGAGATTCTTGATCAACAAGTTGAGGGTATACAACAAAACCTGGCTTCACACCCAGTTTTGTTATAAGGCCAGGAAAAGAAGGAAGAATTACCTGATTTTAAGGATTTTTTTCTTAGCTCCAACAACTGTGAGCACACAGAATGCTTCCTATTCTTACAGGCAACTCTGTAGAAAACAACAACCCCAACCCCAATTCTATACAATCATAAATGCTTACAAATCGCTGAAGCCGCCCTATTAAAATTGAATTATGATTTTTTTTTCCACTCTGTAATTTCATCACTTTGCCTTCCAGCTCTCCGTGGTCGAAGGACAGGCGGGAAAATAGAAGTGTGCCATATATGATTCTCCAAAGTTCTCCGTGATTTTCATTAGCAAGTTAATTAATTCTGGGTTTTTATGCTCCAGGTGATACGTTGTTCTTTTTTTCCCCCGAGGCCAGCACAGATCCCTTTGCGCAAAAAAAAAGAGAGATTGTTTTTAGATACGAGTCTGCTTTTTCTATTCAAATGGTTCTGTTTTTGGATTTTGTGCAAAAAAATAAAATAAGTTTTGTTTGGTTTTTCTGTTTCTTCCACAAATGCTACAGTGATCTAGGCAACGTTAAAGAGAATCTGCTCCCTTTAAATGCTGACTGGGTTCTTGCCTGATTAAGACCAGCCACTCATTTTCTTCTTTTCACTTGATCTTTCCAATTGATCCGCAGGAAAGCCATTAGATTTGCAGCTGAAACTGGTAAGTGCTGGTTTTCCATTGATCGATATCTGCGTTCAACATGGTGCGTTCGGTGAAGGTGACGTGGCCTTCCCCGTCCACGAGAATGACAGTGTTCGCTCTGAAAAAAGGGGGAGAAATCTATTTATCGACACAAGTACGGGTGGCCTTTGACTTGCAATAGTTCATTTAGTGAGCGTTCGAAGTTACGACAGCACTAAAATAACTTACGATCGTTTTTCACACTTACAACCGTTGCCGCCTCCCCACAGTCATGTGGTCAAAATTCGGAGGCTTGGCAACTGGCGTGTTACTTAGGAGGGTTGCAATGTCCTGGGATCACGTGATCCCCCCTTTTGTGGCCTTCTGCCCAACAAAGTCAAGTGTGGGGGGGGGAGAAGCCAGATTCGCTTCACAACCGTGTGAAAAACTTAACAACTGCGGCGATTCACTGAACGGCTGTTTTAGGAACCAAAGCAGTCAACCGCAAGAGGATAAAAAAAAAATACCATCCAGTTTATAAGGAACGGCTGCTGGAATTGGGTATGTCTAGTTTAATGAAGAGAAGGATGAGGGGGGACATGATAGCAGTCTTCCAGTATCTCAGGGGCTGCCACAAAGAAGAGGGAGTCAAGCTATTCTCCAAGGCGCCTGAAGGCAGGACAAGAAGCAACGGATGGAAACTGATCAAGGAGAGAAGCAACCTAGAACTAAGGAGAAATTTCCTGACCGCAAGAACAATTAACCAGTGGAACCACCTGCCTCCAGAAGCGGTGAATGCTCCAACACTGGAAGTTTTTAAGAAGAGACTGGACAGCCATTTGTCTGAAATGGTATAGGGTTTCCTGCCTGAGCAGGGGGTTGGATCAGATGACCTCCAAGGTCTCTTCCAACTTTATTATTATTATTATTATTATTATTATTATTATTATTATTATTATTATTATTATTATTATTATTATTATTATTATTATATTACAGTTTTGCTGGTGCAACAAATATTGCTTCTCACTTGCTGATGAACTTGGGGGGGGGAGGCAAGAGGTTTGGAATGCAAACTTCAAAAGACGAAGAAGCCAGACCATGAGACTCAAGGACGTTACACCAGGTGTCTGGTTAGCCCCAGAGACACTTTCTCATAACAATATTTTTCTGGCTTCCCCAATTGACTCTGTTTGTCAGAAGCATTGGAAGGTGATCAGGTGATCCCAGAGGCTGCAACTGTCGTAAATACATACCAGTTGCCAAGTGCCCAGATTCTGATCACGTGACCGTGAGGAATGCTGCGACGATTGTTAGGAGTCAGGATCGGTCGCAACAGCACTGTTTTAGTGCTATTCTAACTTCGAATGGTTTAAGTCAAGGATCAGCTACAGTCTGGGAGGGCTGCATTTGCTGGCAGGTTCTCTACCTCCGCACCAAAATAATTCAAACGGTGAAGTCTTCCTCTTACCTGGTTCCATAATTTGGGCATCGGACACACAGAGCTGCGTACTTGTTTAGGAACGGAAGGACGTAATCCTTTCCCTGATCCTCCATGGCAGGGTCCGGAAGCTGACTGGATCAAAAGAAGCCGAATCAGAGACCATGGAACTGAAATTCTCCATTTCCTGTGCTTAGATGGGTGTTTATTGGTGGCATAGCGGTAATCTTGTCGTTGTTTACTGGAGCCACCAGTACAGTTGTTCTCAAGCGCCCAAAATGCAAGCAGGTCTAGGGATAGGCACTCATAGGGAGGGAAGCTCGGGGTCATATCCCTAATCAACTACGGCAGGGGTTCCCAATCCCTGGTTCATGGACCAGCATCGGTCTGCGGGCAGCCAGGACCCAGACCATGCAAGCAACAAAGCCCCACCGCTTACACACGGGATGCAGGCAGCGTGCAAAACCAGGTTCCCCCCCCCGGTCCACAGAAAAAAAACTCTCCACGAAACCCGTCCGAGGTGCCCAAAAGATTGGGGGCTGCTGAACTATGGTGTCCAATAATGATCACAAACCACTCCAGTCTCCCTACCCATGTTTTCCCGAAAATAAGACCGGGTCTTATATTAATTTTTGTTCCAAAAGGCGCATTAGGGTTAGGTCTTATTTTGGGGGAAATACAGTACTAAATGCACCCGTCCGGCTGACAATCTTAACTGGGCTTATTTTGGGGGGTGGGGCTTCTATTACTTGCATCCTGAAAAATCATGGTAGGGCTTATTTTGCAGCTGGGCCTTATTTTTGGGGAAATACAGTATTTATATGGGGCACCGTGGACCAGAAGCTCCTTGCCCTCGTAATAATGGCATGTCTCAATCTGATGGATGTCATGGTGCCTTCTTAAATGAAAGTGAGATGGCCCAGTCTGTATAGCAAAGACATGCATTGTGTGCTAAAAGTTCTGGATTCTGGATGGGGACAACGCCACCAGCAAGTAAGTCAGTTTGTAAGTCAAGGCGGGGAACAGTTATGACTCTCCAGATGTTGATGGCCTACAACTCTCAATATGCCCGATACTTGGACATCTGAAGTCACCCCAGAGAATGGTTTGGAGCAAAGCAAGAGAAGACATGGAGCCTTACGGGTCCTGGTTATTCATCAGTTTAATCAGCTCCTGGATCAGCTCCTCTTTCTTGAGGTTCTGGCTGTGTTTGATGACATCTGTAAAAAGCTGTTTTCCATATTGAAGTTTCTTCCAGGGCGTATCCAGCAAAGAATTGCTCAAGCCGTATACCCCTGTGTGGCGAGATTACATCTACCTTCAGGGATTCTCCAACGAAGCATGGAAGGAGCTGCCCCATAGCTGCTCTCCTTGGTGACAAGTTCACAACATGCACAAAAATCAAGCTCTCTAGGTTTGAGTAGAAACACAGAAACCGTGACAACATCGCTTGCCTTAGCCCAACTCTCGCCGAGCGTTACCATTTTACATCATGCGTGCAACTGAATTTTGGGAAACTAAAACGTGGGGATACGGCAAAGTTCTCGCAAAGCTACTTGGAGTTTACAAGGTAAAAAGGGATATTAACCAGATAGCAAGATATGCATCCACTGGTTTTGTTTAGGAGAATAAAATTATACAAAAGACACCCTGCATAATCTGGAAGGTTCATGTGTTTGGAACAATTGCTAAAAAGAGATACACTTCAACGCAATAACTCGGTTATCATATTGAAGTGTATAAGCTGGGCACTGTATAAGCTGGGCACTGTATAAGCTGGGAAATAAAAGCCTTGATATCACGTCTCCCAGTATGAAAAAAGTCCGTTTGCTAGGAACAGAATTCTGTAAATGGAAAATGCTAATGGCAGATTCGAAGTTATCTTAGCCAGCAAAAAGGTTTGGGGCTGTTTTATCAAAGAGTTCCCTGTTTGCTTTGTTCCTGGAGCTTGGCTATTACAAAAAGGGCCCAAATATATACACAATGGGAGATACAGCGTTACATGACAACAGTGGCCTTTACAATGCACGCTTGGCCATTTGGGGTCGCGTGTGCAAGATTGTGGTTTGTGTTACAATGCCAGGATGCTGCTTATGTCAGCTGCTCCCACCCTCCTGAACACGCTACTGAGTTCTCGTGTGGATCAACCTTTCAGAGAAGGAATTCTGGGAGTTGAAGTCCACAGGTCTTAAAATGGCCAAGATCGGACACCCCTGGTCCACAGCAAGTAGCTAGTCCACCTCTGAATCTTTCAAGTATGACATTTCCCTTTGAGCTTCAGCACCTGTCTTCATGTCTATCATGGCAAAACACATAAGCAGGTATGCAGCCACACCACTGCTTTAAATAAATCAAGGCACCCCCCCCCCTTTTTTTTTTATTTAACCCACCGGGATTTAGGAAGAGAGGTTCCAGGTCTCCTTTGTTTCCGTAATAGTAAATTACATCTCCGTTAGTGGTGCTAAAAGATAAAAATAGAAGGAGGAGGAGGAGGAGGAATGAGAAGGAAGAAGAAGAAGAAGAAGAAGAAGAAGAAGAAGAAGAAGAAGAAGAAGAAGAAGAAGAAGAAGAAGAAGAAGAAGAAGAAGAAGAAGAAGAAGAAGAAGAAGAAGAAGAAGAAGAAGAAGAAGAAAGAAGAAGAAGAAGAAGAAGAAGAAGAAGAAGAAGAAAAAAGAAGAAAAAAAAATAATGAGTTCTCCTTGCAAAAACCGGCAACTTAAATCTTTGATTCAGCTCTAATTTTGTCAGGAAACTATTTTGTTTTCCTAAAATTAATCTGATGATGTTTCTGCAGTAGATACACACTGATTAACTGTGCCCGCAGCACAGG